AACTCCATTATAGTCTAAAATACTAAAAATATTTTGTTCTGATGGATCATACCACATGGTGGATGTTTTAAATTTGTTAAATTACCCTAATTCGAGACATTTTTCTACTCTTAAGGTAAAGTAATTTTGAGATTCTGGTTAGGAATTTTGGTTAAATTTTCAGGAAATAGGGATTCAATAGTGTATTCCAAACACCTTATTGGCAATGATGACTGTGATTCCCATGGCACAGACAAATCATGTAGAAGCAGTCATTCTCTTAAATTGTTTTTGTTTTTAGGCATACACAGAACATGAGTAGCAATCACTACTTCTACAGACGATAACCATTATCCTACTCTCAGAATAGATTAGTATTGTCTGCTGCTATGCTTTGTATACACATAATAATATAGCAACATACTATTTTTTAGTCTCTGTCTTTTAGTCAGCATTATATATGTGAGATTCATCTGAATGTTTGTGTGTAGTTGTCATTCATTCATTCTCATTATTGTAAACTATACCCCTATATAAATAGTACTGCATTTATTTATGCTTTGTGCTGTTATTGTACATTTGAGTGGTGTCCACTTTGGTGCTGTTATAAATAAAAGTGCTATGGACATTCTTTTTCTTTTTTTTTTTTTTTTTTTTTTTTAAATTTTTTTTTTTTTTTTTTTTTTTTTTTAAGAGGGAGAGATTTTTGCTACAGGGCACCTGCATTCACTAGAGAGACAGAAAGCAAGAAATCACCCCCCTCACCTTCCACGAGGGGGGATGGCCATGCTGCAATCCCTTCTTCTCCTCCATTCTCTTCTTGGGATCCTGTGCATGCATGCGCACACACCCTGTGTGCGTTTAAACTGACAGGTCTGGGACTTGAACTGCATTCGACTATATGGGAGTCTAACGATATAATGTTACATTACATCATCTGCTGATCCCAAAAGTGCTGTGGACATTCTAATATGGGTCTTTTGGTGAACATAAATACACATTCCTATTGATTATGTATACACTAAGAAGTGGAAACGCTGATCATAATGTATGTATTTGTTTAGAGGAGTCTGCCAATGACCTGTCCAAAGTTGTGATTCCAATTTACATTCCCATAAGCTGTATAGGAGAATTTCAATCACTCTACATCCTTGCTAACCCATGGTATTCTATTTGTTGAAAGTGTAGCAACATCTCTGAAAGTGTAGCAACATTTCTGCAGTTTTAATGTGCATTTTCCCGATGACTATGTTACTGAATAATTTTTCATGTTCATGGGTGATTCCAATGGTCTTTTTTTTTTTTTTTTAGCAGTCAAGTTCTGAGTGCTTTTTTAGTTTTGTCTAAAGCTTTATTTATTTTTTGGGTATCCTTTCTTCAGCATATGTACTATAAACATTTTCTCTCAGTCTGTGGCTTGCCTTTCACCCTTAATGATTTCTTGATGACCAAAAGTTTGTAACTTTAATATTGTCTTATTTGTGGGTTTTTTCCCCATTGGGTTGACTTCTTTTTATTTATTTATTTTTTGCATTCTACTTAGTGTTTCTTTTCCTGCTTAAAAGATAAGGTGTTACCATTTTCTTTTAAAGTCTTAATATTTTATCTTACATGTTTAGATTTTTTTTGGTATTATTTGAGATTAAGGAAGAGATAGTTATAAATATATATATCTATATATATATATATACTTTTTCTCGCTGAGGATTTCAATTACCCAGAAGCATTTATTGAAAAGTCTTAATCCACTGCATTATTACCATTATCATAAATCAGTTAGCAGACTATGAAGGATCTACTCTACACCTATATTCTGTTTCGTTAGTCAGTTGTGTATGCTTCCATCAATACCATGCTGTCTTAATTTTTTATAATAAGCATTATAAGCTAATATTATAAATCTTCAGCTTGTTTTTATAAAACCTTTAGTCTTTTTTAAGATTGCCTTGAGTATGCTTAAAAGTAATTTACATTATCATATTAATTTTTAAATTAGCTTAATTACCACAAAAATAAAGGTGCTGAGATTTTGATTAAAACTGCATTAATTCTTCCTTTTTTTCCTTTTTTTTTTTTTTGGAGATATTTTTGCTATAGGGTGCTTGTACTCTCCAGACAGAAAGAGACAGAGAGACAGAAAACAAGAAGCCACCCCCCCCCCAAGGGGGAATGACCATCCTTTCTCCTCCATTCTCCTCTTGGGATCTTGGGTCTGCACGCACATACGCCCAGAGTGAAGCCACCGGGTCCAGGACTCGAATCATGGTTGACTACATGGAAGCCCAGTGACATAGCCATTACCCTAACTGCTGGTCCCAAAACTGCATTGATTCTATATCTTGATTTTGAGATACTTTACATCTTTGTAACATTAAATCCTCTAGTCCATTGACATGGTATATATTTACTTTTTCTGTTTAGGACTTTTACATGTAATTATGAGAGAAATTGTAATTTCCTTTCCCAAATTAAAAAAAAAATTAGACAAATTTAACAGAGTTTAGTTGAACAAAGTGATTTGTGAATTCGATAGCCCTCAGAATTGGTTCTGAGGAACTCTAGGGCTTCCGCACGGTTGAATAAAACTTATGGGTGGAGAAAAGAAACTGATATACAAAAAACAGAAGCAAATTACAGACACAGCTGGTGGTTACAGTTTGGGGGTTGCCTTAGTTGAAAAGGTTTTATTTTTTTTCTTTCATTTATTTATTTTTACATTTTCCCACAAACATTTACTTTACATAGCAAAAAACTTTAGCTCATACTCCATAATTCTTGACAGTTTACAAACAAGTTTCAAAATTTCAAAATACTGAATTTTAAAGATAATGTTCAAAATATGTCTTATAATTTTGTATAATTTTATGACTCTATAACAACATTAAACAGTGAGTCATCTGTAAATGGCTGAAGCATGACTGCTGTGATTGGCTGACTCAACTATTTTTTACAGAAGCGTATCCCTGTTAGATTTTTAGTTTATTCATGTATTAAATTAGGTAGCAGACACTTCCTAAGAACTTAAGCCTGCAACTAAAGAGGTTTGCTTTCTTTTTAAAAAATAACTCATGCAATTTATTCTAAGCACAGAGGAGGTTTTCTTAGACCAAAATTTAATTTGTTTTAAACTTCATAGGAGTGAGGTGCTTGTTTCTCTTCTGTCCTTAAGCTAAATGTTTTTGCTTTCTGTGAAAGAAGAATTCAAGGAATTATGTAATGTTTCATACCTCTCAACCATCCATAGCCAATTACCTCCTGCCTCTGTGCTTAGAATAAATTGCATGAGTTATTTTTTTAAAAGAAAGCAAACCTCTTTAGTTTTAAATGAAATTTAGGAGCATGTCGTGGGTAGAGGTAGATGAAGAGTATTAGGAGAGAAACTGGAACCATTGAAGCAATGGCAAGGTAGTTCGCGTAGTTGGGCCGGTGCTAGATATAGGTTCAAGGAAGGATGAAACAGCTTATGGTAGGGCTATGTAAAGAACATCAGGTGCAGGACAGTGGCACAGCAGTAAAAGGAGACTCCATAAGGCTGAGCCACATGAGAAGGATCAGGATTTGCATCTGGAGACCTCCCTGAGTATGATGGCACAGGCACACCCATCATCAGGGTGGTTGAAGCAGGTTAGATAGTGGCATTGGAACCCTGTTGAGGTTACTCTCTCTCTCTCTCTCTCTCTCTCATTGTCTCTTTTTCCCATGGAAGAGAAAGAATTGCAACTCAAAATAGGACAAGTCATAGGCAAGGGGAAAAAATAATAAGGAATGAAAAATCCAGAGGTTAGTAAAATAAGCCAGGAGATTAAAATTCTGAACAAAGAGGCAGGAACAAGGCTCTGTAGGAACTAAAAGGGCAGGGCAGAATAGCTATAGTACAGATTCAAAGAAGTCATCAAAATGGAAACAAATTAAGCTAGAGATTTTGCAGTCTTAGAGCTTCCTATAGAAGGAAGAACCTATTCCTAAGTGTTTTGACTTGAGGCTTCGAGCAGGTGTTACTGAACACAGTTCTAGAGAACAGGAGTCAAAATAAAGATATGGTGGCTGTTCTTAACTAGTGACAGCGATATTTATATTTCATATAAATGCACCTTTTTTTTTTTGCCAGAATGAAATCTGTCTTCTTATACAAGAAGAAAACAAATTTCTCAAATTGTTTTTTATCCTCTCCCTCCCTGCTTCCCTTTCGTTTTTAATCTTTTACTCTTTCTCTCTTTTTTTCCCCCAACCTCTCTCCTTTCTTTTGTCTCTGCTGAAGTGTAAAGTTTTGATCACTTGCACCTGTTACATGTTGGGTGAAGCATCTCAACTTCATAAATGATATTTGATGCCCAAGTATCCTCCAATGTAGTGAGAAATTTCTTATTTACTGTGGCTAGTAATTTCTTCCTCAAGTGGGAGAAACTAAAATGAAATTAAATCCTTGTGATTTTGACTCTCTGTTGAACATATTAGAACTACATTGAATGTTGAGGGATCTCTAAACATTATGAGACAGGTGATTTAGCAATCAGGTGACAGTAAAATACTTTACCTCTCAAGTATGGAGCTGGCAGGAAACAGAAATACAGCATTAACTTTATGGCTGTACACTTTTTAACCTAGAAGCTTTCTAGTTTCTGTCCAACTCCTGAGGCTAAAAATGTAACTAATCTGTTTCCTGTTTGGTAATTTTTCTGGAATTGTTGTTCTTACCTTGGTAACTTACAGAAATCATTTCCTATTGAAAAACTTGATTGTAAGTTTTTTTATTTTTTTAGAATGCAAACTGAAAGTCTAATAAAATATTTGGTATATATCTCTGGTACTGTACCACAGCATAATTACTGGGCTTTTTTCTTATTTGAATATGGGCTTATATTTTCTGGCTGAGCATTCTTCCAACAGATGCTGCTATTTACACTATTGAAACCTTGTCAAGTGAACTGTTTCTGTGGTTCTAGCTTCTGGTACTGGATATCACTTCACAAGGAAGATTTTGGTAAAGCTTGTTTGGTTGAAACACCTTGTTGTTACTTTAGGTGCTGACTGTTGTGATGCCGAGTTTCCAATTGCCTTGATTAAAGTAGAAACAGTCTATGGCTTGGATGACTTACATTTCAAATTGGTTTGAACAAGATGATTGGTATGAAGGACTACAAAGAGTAAGATATTTTATGTTGTAATTATGGTTTTCTGTCATTTTTTTTCTGTTTTGCTTTTTATGCATCTGTATTTTGATTGTTTATATTGTAGAAAATTTTGCATTTTGTAATCATTCTGCAAAATTTCAAAAGTGAATAAGACATCTATTTGATATATTTTGAAGCAGAGGTAAGAATATAATGTATGAGAATAGTTTATATATTGAAGAAAAGGTATATTTTTTCCTATTCTGATTTCAAGTGGATTCTTAATGTTTTCAGATTAGTTTTAAATATAAAAAAGCATTTTTTATAATGAGGTTAATGTAAGAAATAGCAACAGTTTTAAGAAAGTCATTTGATGTAAAGAAGAACATTTAATGAAATAGATAAATGTGCAATAATACTATGTATTCTAATACTATTATAAAAGAAAATATAAATTCCAAAGAAGACTATCATCTTCCATCTGATACATTTTAGGAAATTGATTATGTTTCAAGATAAATTATATTGTGACTATAGCAGCTTTTGCATAGTATTTTGAAAATATTCTGTACTATTCTGATCTATTATTGCAATAGTAGAAAAAAATGCTATTCAAAATGCAGTGAGTCAAATAGATTTACCTTGGAATAATGTATGATTTCTCTTTGATTATTTTCACCTTTTTAATGGAGGTTTCCTTAATTATTTAAATGAAAACAATTTGTAGATTTTTCTTTAATTGGTGGAACAAAAGAGACAGGATATTTTTATGCAATTTCACCACAGTTTTCTCTATCTTTCAAGAGCATATGCTGCTAAAGATATGCAGTACTGTATTGTTCTTTCTTCCTCCTCCTTTGGATTCCTATTTTAAACACATCAATCACAGATATTTTCTCAGGATTTTTTTTTTAATTAAAACTTTTTATCAGTGTAAAGTCTCTTGAGCTTTCTTTAGATAATATTTTTTTAGGCTGTGAAACAAGCTGAAAAACATTTCTAGAGCCAGTACATATCTTACTCTGGAGAATGATACTCTTATTGTGAGTTCTAAAACAGTCTTCAGAAAAGAGACTGAGAAGTAATAAGTAACTTTTGATCCTAAATTCAACCTTATTCCTAAATGGATTGAAATATTTCCATGTATGAATTTAATAGTAGGACTCAAGAAGACACACACCTAACACACAACAGTAACATTCTTTATACTGTATGAGTGCATTTTAAACCAAATAACAAGTGCATTTTTGAAGGTTTTTTTCAAGTTCAGTCTGTATATTTCTCCATAAGAGAAATAAAGATGATAGTCTAATTTGGGAAGGTGAGGAGGACTGACTTTAGATAATGGTTTGTACTAAAACATGAACTTTTAAAAGGTGACTTTAGAACAGCCAACAGAAATTGTGAAATTCAAAATCTTTCTGCCCTTGCCCTTTAAAATTACTGTGTGTCTTTCTTTGTAAATGAATTCCTAGTTCTGGGACCTATTAAAAGAATAGCTAGTCTTAATTACAGAAAGAGTTTGACCCTAAAATAACCAAATCTGTTTTTTTTGTTTTTATTTTTGAGTTTGAGCTTCTTTTGGCATAAGATCTGGTCAGTTTTCTTTTTCTTTTTTGTTTTGAGAGAGATTTTTATTATACGGCACATGTGCTCACTGGAGAGACAGAGAGACAGGAAGCGAGAAATCACCCCCCAGGGAGGATGACCATGCTGCAATCCCTTCTCCTCCATTCTCCTCTCAGGATCTTGGGCATACATGCACACGTGTCCAGAGTGAGTTTTAAGCTACCGGAGGTGGGACTTGAACCATGGTCGACTACATGGGAGTGTAGTGATAAGCCATCATGACATGATTGTCCCTTTGATCAGTTTGTATATAGATAGAGATGAAAATGAAAGTTCCTATTGTAAATAAGTAAAGTTTGCATGTGAATATCAACTTTAATTTCTTTTAAAAATCTAGCTTACTATGTTTAAGGTTATATACATGTCCTATATAATCATCATTTAGCAAAGCATATTTTCAATATTCATATATATATTTTTTAAGGTTTTGGCTGTAAGGCATATGTGCTCACTGGAGACAGAGAGACAGAGACAGTGAGAGGGAAAGTGAGAAATCACCTTCCAGGGGGATGGCCACATGGTAATCTCTTTTTCTCCATTTTCCTCTTGGTATCTTGAATATACACACACATGCACCTGGCGTGAGTTTACAGCCACCAAGTCTAGGACTTGAACCATAGTTGGCCACGTGGGAGTCCAGCAATGTAACAACTATGCCATGTTCATAGAGATAAGAGATAACTTGCATTTGTTACTTAAACTTGATAACTGGAAATACAGTGTTTGAAAAAATCATACACAGTGCAAGAAGAGTGAAGTAGGCATCTCATTCCATGACCCCCAAATATACTACAAAACTGTGATAATAATCAAAACAGCATGATACTGGCATAAAAGCAAGCATGTGCTCCAATGGAACAGAATAGAGACCTGAGAAATAACCCCCAAAACACACAACCAACTGATTTTTGAGAAAAAGCACCAGTCAATCCAGTGGAGAAAAGGAAACCGCTTTAGTAAATGGTGCTGAAAAAACTGGGTATCCATCTACAGGAAGATGAAATTGGACCCCTCTCTCTCACCATTAACAAAAGCAATTCAAAATTTATAAAAGATAATACAGGGGAAACACTTGGAGACATTGAAGTAGGCAAAGACTACTGAAATAAGACCCTGAAAGCACAGGTATTAATCCCTAAAGTAGACAAGTGTGATTACAGCAGTTTAAAAAGCTTCTGCACATCAAAAGAAACAGCAATTAGAATGACTCAACAACCGTCAAAATGGGATAATATATTTGCAATCTATTCCTCAGATAAAGGCTGATAACCAAAATATACAGGGAATTCAAACAGCTTACCCAACAAAAAATAATCAACCCAGTTAAAAGATGGGCAAATGAGGAGAGCAGACTACTGTCTAAGGAAGACATATGAAAAGCCAAAAAGCATATGAAAAAATGCTCAACATCACTTATCATAAGGGAGATACAAATCAAAACCACAAGAGATTTTTATTATACGGCACATGTGCTCACTGGAGAGACAGAGAGACAGGAAGCGAGAAATCACCTCCCGGGGTGCCACAATCCCTTCTCCTCCATTCTCCTCTCAGGATCTTGGGCATACATGCACACGTGTCCAGAGTGAGTTTTAAGCTACCGGAGGTGGGACTTGAACCATGGTCGACTACATGGGAGTGTAGTGATAAGCCATCATGACATGATTGTCCCTTTGATCAGTTTGTATATAGATAGAGATGAAAATGAAAGTTCCTATTGTAAATAAGTAAAGTTTGCATGTGAATATCAACTTTAATTTCTTTTAAAAATCTAGCTTACTATGTTTAAGGTTATATACATGTCCTATATAATCATCATTTAGCAAAGCATATTTTCAATATTCATATATATATTTTTTAAGGTTTTGGCTGTAAGGCATATGTGCTCACTGGAGACAGAGAGACAGAGACAGTGAGAGGGAAAGTGAGAAATCACCTTCCAGGGGGATGGCCACATGGTAATCTCTTTTTCTCCATTTTCCTCTTGGTATCTTGAATATACACACACATGCACCTGGCGTGAGTTTACAGCCACCAAGTCTAGGACTTGAACCATAGTTGGCCACGTGGGAGTCCAGCAATGTAACAACTATGCCATGTTCATAGAGATAAGAGATAACTTGCATTTGTTACTTAAACTTGATAACTGGAAATACAGTGTTTGAAAAAATCATACACAGTGCAAGAAGAGTGAAGTAGGCATCTCATTCCATGACCCCCAAATATACTACAAAACTGTGATAATAATCAAAACAGCATGATACTGGCATAAAAGCAAGCATGTGCTCCAATGGAACAGAATAGAGACCTGAGAAATAACCCCCAAAACACACAACCAACTGATTTTTGAGAAAAAGCACCAGTCCAGAGACCTGAGAAATAACCCCCAAAACACATAACCAACTGATTTTTGAGAAAAAGCACCAGTCAATCCAGTGGAGAAAAGGAAACCGCTTTAGTAAATGGTGCTGAAAAAACTGGGTATCCATCTACAGGAAGATGAAATTGGACCCCTCTCTCTCACCATTAACAAAAGCAATTCAAAATTTATAAAAGATAATACAGGGGAAACACTTGGAGACATTGAAGTAGGCAAAGACTACTGAAATAAGACCCTGAAAGCACAGGTATTAATCCCTAAAGTAGACAAGTGTGATTACAGCAGTTTAAAAAGCTTCTGCACATCAAAAGAAACAGCAATTAGAATGACTCAACAACCGTCAAAATGGGATAATATATTTGCAATCTATTCCTCAGATAAAGGCTGATAACCAAAATATACAGGGAATTCAAACAGCTTACCCAACAAAAAATAATCAACCCAGTTAAAAGATGGGCAAATGAGGAGAGCAGACTACTGTCTAAGGAAGACATATGAAAAGCCAAAAAGCATATGAAAAAATGCTCAACATCACTTATCATAAGGGAGATACAAATCAAAACCACAGTAAAATACCTCCTAGCCCAGTCAGAATGCTAAGATTAAAAAAATAAGTGCTGACAAGGCTGTGGAGAAAAGGAATGCTCAAAAAAAAAAAGAACTATTTTATTTAACTTTATTTTAATTTGATCAGAGTAAGTGAGAGAGAGAGAGAGAGAGAGAGCAAGTTGCCAGATCCAGAACTTGAACTGTGGTCATGTGGGAGTCCAACGCCCTTAATCACCAGGCCACCTGCTGGTCCCTGAAAAGGAACTCTCTTAAACTGTTAATGGGAATGTAAATTAGTATAACCACTGTGAAGAACAATATGGATACTCCTTAAATATCTACAAATAGAACTACCATATGATCCATCAATTCCACTCCTGGGTATCTACCCAAAGGATAGGAATACACACAGTTGGAAAAATACTAGGATATCCATGTTTACTACAGCATTATTGACAATTGCTAAGACATGGAA